CGTCCACCCAAAACCAGAATGCTAGGTGTTCATACCACAAGGATGTGGGGCACCTTATTGAAGACTGTTGAGTGTACAAGTCCTTCCTAGAGAAGTTGGTTCAAGAGGGACATCTCTAGGAGTACATTGAGAAGGGAGACAAGGGAGACAAATGCCATCACGACTGTGCCCCCGTTCATGACAATGTCTGCCCCCTGGAATGACTAATGACCAATACTCTGTGGTCCGATCTGAAGAGGGTAGCTTTCTCCAGGAGGGTGGAGGAGAAAGAGGGGGACCAATAAAGTAAGAGGCACTAGAAAAATCAAAGAGGTATCACCTTCTCGAACGCCGACCTAGTAGACATGGCCCTTCCCCATAAAAATGCCTTGATCATAACTTTGTGGATCACAAACTTTGATGTCAAAAAGGTCCTGGACGACTCAGGGAGCTCCTCGAAGGTGATGTACCTTGATGTGTTGAAGCGAATAGGTCTTAGATCCAATGATCTTACCACTTTCAAGACACCTCTTGTTGTGGTGATCGACTCTGATTCACCATACAACATAATAATGAGGCGGCATTGGTTGCACTCACTTGGAGCCATGCACTCTACCTGCCATCAAAAGTTGAAGTTCCCCACTTCAGAGGGGATAATGGAGATTTTTGGAGACCAAATCTCATCAAAGAGTTATTTTTATGTTGCCGTAAAAATCAGGGTTACGTCCAAGGAAAGGGACGCACCTCGGAGGAAGTGATGAACAAATAGCAACTACAGTCAGGACAGTTGGGTGTCAATGAGCCGTGGATTGACCCCTCCGATCGCTCTATGGAAGCCCTCTGACAGGTATTCTTGAGAGAGGGAGACGAGGATAGATATTTCCTGATCAACTGCGCTATGTCCACAGCCAAACATGAGGAGATGGCAAATTTCTTGAGGAAGAACATGGACGTCTTCGCGTAGGATACCACAGAGATAAAAGGCATACGTCTTGATGTTATAACTCACCGACTCCATGCTGAACCCAATTATAATCCCATAAAGCAACAGCCTCGGCATATGGCACTGCATCATGCCCAAGTAGTGAACGAAGAGGTATAGAGGCTCCTGGAAGCTGACACCATCTAGGAGGTGCAATTTTTGGAGTGGCGTGTCTGTGTGGATTTTACAGATTTGAATAAGGCTTGTCCAAAGAACGATCATCCCCTCCCCAAGGTTAGCCAATTGGTTAATGCCACGGTAAGGCACAAACGCATGACCTTCATAGATGCCAGATCTGGTTTCAAGGTCATGCTAAGGGGGTCTACTGTTACAAGGTCATGTCGTTTGGACTAAAGAATGCGGGTGTTACATACCAGAGACTCATGAACTGAATGTTCAAGCGACAGATGGGGAATACAATGAAAGTGTACATCAACGATATGTTGGTCAAGAGTAAAAGCTGGAGTGACCACATCATGGACTTGGAGGATGCCTTCACCACCCTTCGTGAGTATGGGCTAACGTTGAACGCGACTAAATGTTTCTTTGGAGTTGGTTTGGAAAGTTTCCGCAGTACTTAGTAAGTCAACACGACGACGAGGCCAACTGGGAGCAGATACAGGCTATCATGGATGTACGTAGCCCTCGGACCATCTGGGACGTCCATAAACTTACGAGAATGCTAGCTGCCTTAAATCATTTTATATCCTAATCATCAAACAAATGCAGGCCTTTCTTCGATGCCATCAAGAGGTCTGGGAAGGACACTTGGAATGAGGAATGTGAAAAAACACTTGGAAGGATCAAGGACTATCTACAGGTCTTTCCGACCCTGTTGGTCCCCAAGAGCCACTGTACTATATGAGGGTGAACATGAACATGAATAGAAACCGGTGTACTATGTGAGCAAATCCATGAGCATGAGCATGAACATACTAATCCAAGAGCATGAACATACTAATATATGTGAACATACTAATCCATGAGCATGAACATGAACATAAATCGATGTATATGTGAGCAAAGCTCTCCTGGACGTAGAGATGAGATACCTTAGAAAATTGCATTGACACTAGTCATGGCCGCACGAAAGTTAAGGCATTACTTTCAAGTGCACCCTATCACCGTCCTGACAGATCAACTTTTAAAGGCAATCCTAAGGAAAACAGACCTCTTCGGGAGGATAACAAAATGGGTCGTGGAGTTGGGGGAACACCACATCCACTACAGACCTTGCACTGTAATAAAGGGACAATTGCAAGCGGACTTCATTGCTGAGTTTACCCACGGGGAGCCCCTTCCCCCGAGGAGGAACCCTTCACGGATGGAGAAGTGCACTCTTGGAGACTGTGTGGACGGATCCCCCAACAGCAAGGGGTCCAAAATTGGAGTGTTATTTGTCTCGTCGGACAGAGTGGTCACAGACCAAGGTGTATAGTTAGGTTTCAAGGCATCCAACAATGAGGAAGAGTACGAAGCACTCGTCTCTGGACTAAAACTTGCAAATGATGCAGGAGCCGTGGAACTGACGGTACTTTGTGACTTGTTACCGGTGGCCAACCAAATCAGTGGGGAGTTGGAAATGAGGGATCCAAGGATGAAAGATTATCACCACAAGACAATGACCCTACTCCACAAGTTCAAGAAGGTGGAAGTCAAGCAGGTCCCACGAGATAAGAATGCCCACGCTAACGCTCTAGCATGCCTACCCTCGGCATTGGACTTTGACATGACACGAAGGATTACTGTGGAGTTTCTTCCCAACTCTAGCATAGACGACATCCCTGGAGTGATTACAATTTAGGAAGGGGAAGGGCTCCCTAGCTGGATTGATTCCCTACTCAAGTTCCTTGTCTCTAGAGAGCTCCAAGAATGCCCCAAGGAAGCCAGGAAGATAAAGTTGAGGGCACCGAGGTTCGGGGCCCTCTAGATCAAAAGTTGTATCTAAAGTCGTTCTTAGGACCCTACTTTCTTTGTGTTCGAGAAGATAAAGTAGAGCCTCTCCTGTATGAGGTACATGAAGGCATATGTGGGGGCATTCGGGTGGAAGATTCATGGCCCATCAAATAATGTCACAACAATATTGGTGGCCGCGGATGTAGAGAGTCGTGCAAGCTTACGTGCGAAAGTGCAACCAGTGTCAAAGGTTCGTCCCTGCCATCAAGCAGCCGACAGAAGACTTGCACCCATTGACCAGTCCGTGGCCATTTGCCCAATAGGGACTTAACTTGGTTTGGCCCCTCCCAAAAGCTCTCGAGAACAAGAGGTTCTGAATAGTTGAGACAGATTACTTAACAAAATGGGTTGAAGCTGAGCCGTTGAATCATATCAGGGACACGAACACCAAGAAGTTCTAATAGAAGAACATAATGACGAGGTTCGGGATCCCTCGAGCACTTATATCGGACAATGGGACTCAGTTTAATAGTGGGCCTTTCAAGTCTTTTTGTGAGCATCTTGGGATTCAGAATTATTACTCCACACCTTCCTATCCTCAAACCAATGGACAAGCAGAGTCCTCAAACAAGACTATCGTCAATGGAATTAAGAAGAGATTGTAGAAAACTAAGGAAAAATAGGTGAAAGAGCTCCTGAATGTCCTTTGGTCCTATAGAATAACTCTGTAGACCTCAATGGGTGAGACACCTTATGCCCTTGTCTATGAAGTAGAAACAGTTATCCCACTAGAATTGGGCCTTCCCATTATAAGAATACAAGCTTTTGACACAGAAAAAAACGATTACCAACTCAGCCTAAACTTGGATCTCATGGAGGAAACAAGAAAAATGATTGCCTTGAGGCTAGCAAAGTACCAAGAAAGAGTGTCCAAACACTACGATAAAAGAGTAAAACCCTAAAGATTCCAAGTAGACAACTTGGTGCTCAGAAGAGTAGTCGGGAACACTCGTGATCCGACCAATGGAAAGATGGGACCTAATTGGGAGGTACCATACAGAGTCATATCACTGCTAGGTTCTGGGTCATACAAGTTGAATGATATGGAATGAAATGTTGTACTTCGATCTTAGAATGTAATTAATTTTAAAAAGTACTATTTTTTAGAACGAAAGGCTTATTTTCGCTAAGTGTACTATCCTGGAAGGGGCATTGCCCCAAAGGCAAAGTCTTCAAGAAAGACTCTTGCCTCCAAAGAGATGAAATGAGTAAAGCCTCTTGAAGGGGCATGACCCCAAGGGTGAAGCCTTAGAAAAAGACTCACCCCAAAAGACCTAAGGAGCAAAGCCTCCTGGATGGGGCATGGCCCTAAGGACAAGGCCTTAGAAAAAGACTTGCCCTCAAAAAGGCCCTAGGAGCGAAGCCTCCTAGAAGAGACATGGCCCCTGAGGCAAAGTTTTCAAGGAAGACTCTTGCCTCCAAAGAGACAAAAGGAGCAAAGCCTCTTGGAGGGGCATGGCCTTGATAGTGAGGCCTTAGAAAAATACTCACCCTAAAAAGACCTAAGAGCAAAGCCTCCTGGATGGGGCATGACCCCGAGGACAAGGCCTTAGAAAAAGACTTGCCCTAAAAAAGGCCCTAAGAGCAAAGCTTCTTGGAAAAGGCATGACCCTAGAGGCAAAGTCTCAAGGAGGAATCTTGCCTCCAAAGAGACGAAAGGAGCAAAGCCTCCTAGAGTGGCATGGTCCCAAAGGTAAGTCCTTGGAATAAGACTTACCCCAAAAAGACCTAGTAAACAAAGCCTCCTGGATGGGGCATGACCCCAAGGGTGAACACTTCAAGATTTTTGCTCCATAAAGGAAGTCGAGGCCAAGGGAGACTACTCGACCTCGAGGAATGGTGCACTCCAAGGAAGAAAGAAAAAGGACAAACACTTGGAAAAATGAAAGGCATCTTTGCATTACCAAAAAAAAAGAAAGGGCTTTGCATCCCTCAAGCTACAAGTTATAAAGTAAGAAAGCAAAAAAGTTACTCTAAAGAGGACCAGTGACATCGCCTCTGATGCCTCCCTAATGTCGCCGAAAAGCTCATCAATGCTAGCAGAGAAAGAATCAGCACTGCAAGGAGTAGACGCAACATCAACCTAAGCAGAAGAGGCCTTGGTGTTGGAAGGAACAAGATTGGCGTTAGTTGGAGGCATGGCATCGAAAGGACTAGGAGCAGAGTCAACTGAGGGGACGAGAGTACCAGCAGCATCCTCAGTTGGAGGAGCTTGACTTGTCACTTGAAGCGCCCCAGCATCTTTAGCAGCAACCTCGGCTGCGTCTTACCCATCTCCTTGGAAGGAATGTACTCGTGCTCCTTGAAGAGTGGCGACTCGACAAGGACCCCGGCGGCTCGAAGTGCCTCATCCCACCCAACCTTGAATATTCCCTCTTTGTCTCTTCAAATTCCACCAAGGTATCGTCGGTGCATTGGTTGACGATCTCTTGCTCAGACAGTTTGTTGGCCTCCAACTCAGACCACAACTTGTCCAACTCTGAGTGAGGGAGGACACAAACCTGCTCCGACTCGGCCACCCTTGCCCGCCACAGATACCTACTTCATTGCCTCAATCATCTTCTTCTCAATGTTGGCGATTAGAGGTTTGTTCTTGTTAGCTTCTACTTGGCACTTTGGCTCTCTTTGAAGAGCACTGCGATTTGGACCCCTTGAGTGAACAAAGTCTTGTCCTGGAAAACCACCTCCTCCTTAGCCGCGATGAGACTTTCTCAAGGTCGTCTTTGAATGTTTCACACTCTTGGACCTTGCTAAGATGGGCATGGAAATGCTTGGCGATAACAGATACTTGTTGAGCTGCCTAGAAGAAAAAAGAGGACAAGTTACACTGAGGAAGACACTAAAGTAAGAGGAAAAATAATCCACAAGTGTAGAAGTCTTACCACCAAGGAGCTCTGGATCAGAGAGCAGAATAGCTGATTGCTTCCACAATCCTGGTGGATCGCCATGTCGGTGTCAAAATGAAGTGCTTAACTCACAGTATAGGCAATGTGAGGAGAGGCAACAATGGATTCGGTCCACCAGATTGGATGATTTATCGCGATCTCGGGTGGTACCATGAGAATTGGAGTCAGCGTCGGTGTGGGTGTAGACCTCGATGTTAGCATAGGAGTGCCCCTTTTGCGGCCGGCATCATCGTGCCTTTGCTTTATCCTTCTATCCTCAGTTTGAGGATCCTTGTTGTGGACTCGGTACGTCCTAGCGGTGTTAGGTCAGTAGAGGCATTGAAAGTTGGGGCGTTGGAGATGGCGCCCATGGGATCACCATCCCAGAGGACGAGTCCATTCCTGGTCAGAGGGAGTGGCCCTAGAAAACCGAGGTCGTGCCCCATTCAGCGACGATTGTAGCTCTCTCCTTGATCAAGTTGAGGGAAGGGTG